CTGAGCGGCGAGCTCGCCGGGTGCGGGGCTGCGCGCCCCTCCCGAAGCAAGGCTGGAAGAGCACAGGTTTGGGGTGCAGGCATAAGAATTCCGCTTTTCAAGTCATTCTTTGCTTTGTTACGCAGGCTACCAGGTGACAGGCGTTTTTATGAAGAACTGGGACCCTCTGGATGAACAAGGAGCTTGCTCCGTTGACAGAGATTGCGAAGATGCTTACCGGGTGTGTCAGAAGCTTGATATTCCTTTTCACCAGGTTTCCTACGTGAAAGAATACTGGAATGAAGTATTCAGGTAGAAACATGCTTAATAAATGGGCTTCCAGGATGTTAGCACAGCACTGTGTTGTTGTGAAAAGCGAGGGTGGACAGATGCTGGGCAATGGCAATTTATTGCGGTGGTATCAGTGCTCAGAGAAGTTACTGAAGCCTGATAAACGTCGGAGGAATTATTTTTTTCTCTCATCAATACTTAAGATCAGGATTTATATGTTGGTTTTAATATGTTTGTTATTTATTAATAGGAGATTTCTCTCTAGTTATTACGAGTGTGTAGCAATTGCTTTGTTGCGGCTCATTTCTTCTGCTTCCCACATACTGGCCCAACCTTACTGCAACCTGAGAGAAAAGTATTTAACAGGGTGCTGTTACTGTCTCTGTGTGTAATTTATGCAGTACGTTTCACATTAATGTATACTGAATCCAGTTTATCTGAGCTAGCCTTGCTTCTTTAAACTTACGACCAATTTGAAACTGTTCTCCAAAGAGGGTCTTCAGATTTGCTGTGAATTTGTTCCACCTAAAGGGAAGAAAGTGCTACACAGGAAAAGCTGAGACTTTTTCTTGGGAGGTAGAAGGGAAGTATTAGTTTAAGAACAAATAATTTATGTTTTATGCACTCACCATAGGTATATAAAAGTTGTTCCCAGATTTCATCATCTTCCTTTAAGTAGTGCTGTTGTTACCTTGTCTTAGAAGAAACTGGGGAATAATCTAGCTGTGCTGCTTCTGTGCCATGTTGAAATGACATCAAGTTGAGCACTAACCTTCTGTGCAGTCAGTGAAGAAAACAGCCCTGTTCCAGGGAAAGTCACTCCGTTCTTCCCTCCTGGTGTGAGAGAATGAATAAACGTTATCGAAACCCTTGAGGGGTGTGGGGTGTCTGTAAATGGCAGTGAAGTGAATGAAATGTTGAACTCGGAACTGTTAAAAAGGAGTTAGAGAAAAGAAAAGATACGTTGCTTTATTTTCTATTTATGAATTTAATGTCTAACACGGTAAGGAAGAAGGAACTGTTTCTGTTTCAGATGGTGAAAAGTAAAACCAAATATGAGGGTTGCTGGTGTTCTTCTAAATCCAGTCTGTGCCCTCAGTTCCTCTTCAGTGTTGCTGAGCAAAATAACGCAGTGATCAGGCCTTTTGATGTCTCAGTGCATCGCTGTATGCTGGTTTAATTTCATTAGTTATTATTTCAGTGTTTTCAAGCAAATAGCACTAAGCGCTTTACTTATGCGACACTGTAAAACTACAACATGACCTTGAGAAACTACTTGAATTTCTTGAAGGGAAAAAAAAAAAAAATCTCTAAAATTAAGCCCCGTGACTGCTTATGGTGGCATTATTGCAGATTAAGTTATTGTCCGTTCAGCTGAGACGCAGTATAACTCCTGGTGTGTACTCCACTGTACTGTCACTTTGAAAAATTAAACAGCGTTGTTTAATTCTGAGAGGAAGTATTTTGTAAGAGATGGGTAGGATCTGCACAGTGGGCAGCCATGTCTTCCTTGAGGGATTAATTAATAAGACATGGTTACAAGACTGTGAGTGATCAATTTGACCATGGCTTCAGTGCACTTTGGATAAAATCTTCCAAGCATTGTTTTTTACAGGTTAAGATCTACTGGATGTTTTATTTCTTACATAAAATGCTTAGTATGGCTGGGTCTCAAGTTCTCATGTTTAAAAGAAATGGCTCAGTCCTGGATCGTATTCTGCAGTGTTAATAATGCTGATGTACATTTCAATCTTTATTTTACAGTGACCTCTTAAAAGAGTATGAATTGGGAAGGACTCCTAATCCTGATATTGTGTGTAACAAGCACATCAAATTCAACTACTTTCTTCATTATGCTATGGATAACCTTGGTAAGGCATTTTCAAGTGTGTCAGTACAGAGTGTGTGCCATGGAAATGCTTAAAGGATACAAACCCTTGAAAAGGTGGGGAAAAACATCAGTTCCTATGCATGCCTAATTCATATATCTTTATGGCAGTATTTCAATATTTGCAAAGTATTTGGTTTTAAGTTTGCTTTTACATACAGAATCGTAGAATGGTTCAGGTTGGAAGATACCTTTAAAGAGTCCCACCCCCCTGCCATGGGCAAGGACATCTTCCACTAGGCTAGGTTGCTCATATGTAGGAACAGGTGTAATTCAGGGACGTACATTGACCTGACCGTTAAGCTTTACATTCTTAGGTGGTCCTTAAAGTAAAAAAGCAGAACTGCTGGCATGCTGATTAATAGTTTACATTATTTAAATAGTAGGATTATTGTCAGTATAAGACTTCCCTATAGGTTTGCTTCCTTCGTTGTTTCCTGCTATTCTTGCTAGATGTTTATAATCCTGTTTTAAATTGTGAATTTCAAGCATGTGCCTTTGTGGTTTTGTTTTTTTTCTTGATAGGAGCAGATGCAATTGCCACTGGGCATTATGCTAGGACCTCACTAGAGGATGAGGAAGTGTTTCAACAGAAACATATTAAAAGACCACAAAGGCTTTTCAGAAACCGTTTTGAAGTTAGAAATAGTAAGTGGTGTCTTCATTTCATATTTCATCCTAGATATGAAAGAGAACTTTAAACTATATTTGGTGTCGCATAATCAGGGAAGTTTGTTACTTTACACACAATGATTGCCACTTAAACCTTTGTATAAGGCTGATTGTGCAAAACAGGGGGTTTACGTTGATACTGACCAGTCAAGTATCACATTTTCTATTTTAAGAGTTCTAATCCAGGTAATCATGAGCATTTCAGTAGTAATCAACTTTCTGGAGGAGCTGTAATGTGGATTAAGGAGACAGGGATATCTTCTATACCCCGGAGAAGTATTTCACAAAATCTTTATTAGTACTTCCATGATTTACCTAAAATTTTCTTTTTTAATGTTTCTTCAATTTTAGGGAATATATTTTTTTGCTATTCAATATATAGTATGGATAGAACTCATCATGGGGATATGCTTAAGTGGAATTTTGGAATTAAGGCTTTGAAACATTAACATTAATAACATACTTGTATACAGTAATTGGACTGTATATTATTTTACTGGAAAAAGTGAGGTTCTCATTCAGTAATTCAACTATTCTGCCTTATTTCTCTGTTCTCCAATAGAAGCCAGGTTTTCCAAGGTAGATCAAGGTTCTGCCTACACTGCAGTTGAAAAGTGCCAGTGCAGCGTGTGCAGACATTATTAAGGCTGCGGTGCTCAGGTCAGCAGAGGCAGCAGCAGTGCAGGTTTTGCTCATCACTTTAATAGTCTGCTTGTGGCTGTACCTAATCGGAGGCTGATCTCAGCACCACAGTGGTTCTCTTGTTATCAGTACCAAAGCCAGCTTGGTGAATACTGTTTTGGGTACGTCTCTGCATGGCACTATCACAGCTTGGATGGCAATGCAGAGATTGCCCAAGTAGCGCTGCAGTGGGCCATAACGCAATAAAGTAGCTCAGGTGAAGCTTTGATCTATAATGAGAAGCACGCTATACCAGAAGGGAAAGAAACTTGCAAACTACTGCTATGCAAAGCTGCCACGGTGATGTTTTTGTGTTACAGCTTCCCTTCTTTCATTTCTTTGTTCTGGACTTAAAGGGGTTTATTTGTTTCTTTGTTTTAATTTTATTTCTGGAAAGTTGAAATGGCCCCAGCGGGACCGCCGGTCTATACTGGTGACAGACTGTGATTCACAGTTGAGTATTTTGTGATGTTCTAAACAGGCTTTCTGCCCTGTTACTGAGATTTTGTATTATTAGTTGTGACTGAACTATTGGCCTGTAGTTAGTGTTGGAGTCAAGAAACATGTAAGTGGAGTTTGTACAACAGCAGAGCTATTGGCTCTTAAAGAGAGTGGGCAGAACATGACTGAAAAACTATACTGATTTTATTTCATCTGAGCCATCAGGAGATAATCTATTTTAAAGAAAAAAAGCCAAATTCTCCTCTCTGAGCACTGGGAGTAACTGCTGGTCATTGAAATCATTGATTTATATCAGTGTGATTTCAGGGCAAAACTGAATGTCTTTTTGAAGTATAGTCTACAATATTTGAATCTTCATTCTCTCTTTCACAAGAAATATGATAGTTGTTTTCATTTTTCATGTCGATGCTGTTGCAAATGGCACATGTAGTATTGTAATAGATGAGGCAATGTAAGACTTTGTAAGATTCTGCATTGTGCAGAATCAGTATCTTTCTAGATCTTTTTTTATGGTGAGAAAATACCCAAACATTTTCAATTAGATTTTGAAAAATCTGAAAAATGCTGTCTTTAACACGTACTTGGAAATAATAAAACTAAAATGTTGACTGTCAAACAAAATACTAAAGGAAGCAGAACTATTAAAGGGGGTTATGTTGAGATGCTTTGTGTTCTGCACTTTGCAGCTGTGAAACTCCTTCAAGGGGCTGACCTCTTTAAGGACCAGACGTTCTTTCTAAGTCAGATCTCGCAGGATGCTCTGAGGAAAACCATTTTCCCTTTAGGGGATTTAACAAAAAGTTTTGTAAAGAAGATAGCAGCGGAACATGGCCTTCATCATGTGCTAAAGAAAAAAGAGGCATGGTAACACTTAAACTCTTTTGATTTGTATTTCTTTCTAAAATAGACTTCCCTGAAATTTTTGAACTTTAATCTGTGACATCTTCTCTGTTTCTGAGCACTGTAATAGGATAGGTTGGGAAGCAGTTTTGTAGCCGTCTGCTTGCTTGAAAGTGCTTTTATGAGCTTGCAGTTAGTTGTGTATTTTAGCTTGCAGATAATTTGTCTACCATTGTATCTCAGAAGAACTGAGGTGAGCATGAATGTGTTAGGATGCTGTGAGCCTTAAGGAAAGCGTTCTCTATCACAGCAGGTGAGAAGCCTTTATTTTCCATAGCTTTTAAAAGCTTCCTCACTATGATTGTTATTCAATATATCTTTATAGAAATTGGATCATACTGGTTTTCCACAGTTACTCATTTTATAAAAAGAAAAATAAATTGTTCCTCTGAGAACTAACACCTCATGAGTTGATCCTGAGAAAATGTAACGGAAGCAGCAGTTGTATTGCTGATTCTGTCTTGATCACTTTTAATGTTTGTATTTGTCCACTGTAAATGGGTGTTTGAAGAAGGTAGGCAGTGACTTCAGTCACAAGACAAGGCAAGCCTATTTGGTTTTGAAAGTTTTTTTCAAGAGATACACCATTACTGTATAATTTGTGTTACTTTTGTACTTCAGTGTGAAAGACACTTCTGTTTTTAATATGCATACAAAATAATCACCAGGGTTAATGTATTTATTTATTTAACGTGTGTTCTATTTCTTATTGTTGGTGGAAACGATTGGACTTGATCTTATAGGCTTTTCTAACCTAAATGATTCTATGATTTCTTTTCTGGACTTATGGCTCTCACTGGTACAGTATTGAATTTGTTTACCTGTGTTGGAGTAGATGTCGTGGTTTTGTTTATTTTGTGAGATGCCTAGCATAGTTTGGGATACACGGGGGCGGGGAATCCATCTCGGAGAGATTGTTAATAGACATTATTTCAACTGTTTTTCTCTGCTTTTATGGATTCAATACCACGTTTCTTTTTCAGAGTATGGGAGTCTGTTTCATTGGTGAAAGAAACTTTGAAAATTTCCTTCTTGAGGTGAGCAACATTAAATCTATGACAATCTTTATGCTCTGTTCTTGTTTTCAGTAGTAAGTACGAAAGAGTCTCCAACAGCTTGTGGCCCACACTAAGTAGCAATGTCCCACCTCCCTTTGCAGTAGTCCCAAGCCTACCCAGAAGCTAATGGAAACAGCCTGTAGGAAGTACCTTGCCCATCCACCAGCAAACAGTCAGGCACTTTCTGTAGCAAAAGGCATGCGTGAACATGCACTCCTGTGCCTGCCAGGCTCCGAAAAGTGGTCGGGCTGCGAGAGGGGCAAATGGCTGAATCCTGCTCTCCCCTGGTGTAAGCGAGGATGGGGGGAGTGAAGCCCAGAATTACTGCTGACAAGGATTGCTCTTCGCAGCAAGCTGCTTGGGCAGAGTTTGTTTCTTGAAAAGTTATTTTCCAACTTCAAGAGAGTAGTGGCAGAATATGCAATACAGTGTGGGGTTTTTTTTGGGTTATCTTGTGACTTAAACAGTTTCTTCTTCCTTTGGTAGTATTTAGAACCTCAACCAGGTAACTTCGTTTCCATTGAAGATCAGAAGGTGATGGGAACACACAAAGGTAATTGGCTAACCCACCTTAATAACTGCTTTTAGATAAATGGAACAATACTGCTTGTATTTGGAGGGACAAATTTTGTGAAATTCCACCATTTTCTACCGTTTTTTCCCAGTTTGATAACTCTAATAGTGGAAAACTTGCTTTATACAATAGTAGAGCCTTGAACTACAACCAATTCTTCATTATTTGTTCCCTGTTGCAAGAAAGTAAATGATAATTATTAGTTACTCTGTTGATACCAAGTGGTTGTTAATTTAATACCGAGAGGCCATTGTTCATTTAATTCTTTCAAAATGACTTGCTCTTCAGTTCCAGATGCTTTAGTACCTAAACTTTGCAGAAAAAATACACCATCCATCAGGCGATGAACAGTAGGACATCACCAAACATGGGCAGCTTACCTTTTCCACTCCTTCTGTGTGCCCTTCCTTTGCTCTCCTCAGTTCTAGCTGCCAGAACTGAGTTCCTCTCCCAAGCAATTTATGGAAGTAGGATGTTCTACTAATACATGAAAGTAAGGGAAACTGGTAAGACTGAGTGGTAGAAAAACCACAAATTGAAGCTGAAATAGAAAAATATTTCTCTTTCATAAACCCTAAGAATACTACAACTGAAACGAATTAGTTTGAAATCATGTACTTTAGGTACACATGAAAACTTTCAAGTAGATGGTAGTTTAGTTCGTAATTGGCACACTTCTCTAGGCAACTTGGTTCGTTATTCTTTGTTTAGTGGTAAAGTTTTGGGGAAATGATTTTAACATATTTTTCTGAAAGTAAAACAGTGAAAGTTGCTATCAGCATTGCATTTTTGTATTCCTTTAGGTTGGTTCCTCTACACAATAGGCCAGAGGGCTGGACTAGCAGGCCTGAAGGATGCTTGGTTTGTTGTAGACAAAGATGTCAGCACTGGAGATGTCTTTGTGGTGAGTTAGTTAACACTGGTATTGCAAATGAGTAATCCAAGCATTTTGTGACTCCTGCTGCATGGAATGTGATTCCAACCTGGGCAGAATTCTTGGCTTTCCTCTTGGAGGAAACAAGAACTAACTAGTGCAGCATCAGCAGATTTGAAACTTCTTGTCTAAACTGGCTTTTCTTGAGTAGAAAATTGGTTTAGATTTTGGCATAGAACTTTTCCAGACAAAGGGAAAGTACTGGAAAGAATCAGCCAATCTGCTGAGCTCTTATTTTCTACTCTAAAACATGAGTTTTTTATTGTAGTTATTATGACACGATACAGAAAATGTTTATTATCTTAGTTTACTATGTATTGTTACTTTCTAGTAAAAGAAGTCGTAGCCAGTAATACAGTTTTATCATTTTGAGAATGGAGGCAGGATATATATAATACTGCAGATGATTGGTGTGTTAATGACTGATCATATGAGATGGCTGGGAGTTCTGCAGCTTGCTAGCATTGTTCATGTTTCTTGCTGTTCATGCAGTTGTTATTCTTACTTGATACTGATGTGATTATAATGAGGTGTTCTGCTCCTTGTTGATGTGCCTGGGGGAAAAAAATCTTAATCAAATGCGAGTTGAGAGGAAACAGGCAGGACCGCTAAGAAATATTTTTTATGCCCTACAGTAAGGTTGTGTATGCGCAACGCCTTTCTTGGGGAGGTGTTGAGTTGAGAAGTTGAGCAATTGGAGAAGAGGGAGGAAGAGTCTTGCTGAGGTAGGATAAGGAAGGACAGTAGATATCTGAACTCAGCCTGAAGAAGGCAGAACTATGGTTGGAGGAAAAAGAATACAAGAAGTGACATGACTCTGGGATGTAGAAGACTGACAATTCAGGCTTGCTTTAAGCGTGTTTTTTTCATTGAAGACTTCCACCTGGAAACTGATTAAGTGCTAATAAATGCTTGCTTTCTTACTCATCTTGCCTTCATTTTGATATGCCTTGATGCTGCTTCTATATTTCATGCTTTACTTTACAAGGTAGACACTCTCTGGCAAAAGCATCAGCATTAAATAAACGTTGTATTTTAAGGCACCATCAACAGATCACCCTGCTCTGTACAGAGACCTATTGCGGACAAACCGAGTGCACTGGATAGCAGAGGAGCCTCCAGCAGAGCTTGTTAGAGATAAAATGATGGAATGTCATTTCAGGTTTCGGCACCAGATGGCACTGGGTAATCAAACCTTGGTTTCTTTTTTGTTTTACTCCGTTCGTGAAACTGTAGTCGTGTGTTCAGTGTGGTTTGGCAGAAATAGTGGAAAAGTTTTGGCTTGCCTTTCTGTTTCTGTAGTGTCTTTATAAAACAATTCTGTGTAGTAGTTTCTTGACTTATATCTGTTTAACCCAGGAATGAAGGTTTTTCTTTTTTAATGTGAACATAAGGATTAACTGGCAGTGTCTGGCCTTTTTCTGCTCTAGTGCCTTGTGTGCTGACTCTAAACCAAGATGGGAGTGTGTGGGTCACGCTAGTGAAGCCAGCAAGAGCTATCACACCTGGGCAGGTAAATTATTAGAAGTGATTTTCTTTCCTTTTTTTGCGTTCTGGCTTATCTGCTTAATAGAAGAGAGTTGTGTTTTTATTTGCTGGAGCAAAATATTTCATTTATTTACATGTGAGAGCAGTTAGCTCTATTTTGACTATTCATCAACTAATTTGAAGGAGATCTTTTCTAGCTTTAAAGGGTCTGTTGTTATCCATATAGTCTGAGAAACTGCTTTACAAGTTTGAAAAATACATGAAAACATCTCTGGTAATCCATTGTATATGCAGAAATGGAATCTCATGTTGTCTTCAAGAAAAAGATTTTAAAAGGTATTAGTTTGGCAATTGGCTGCTTACTATGGTTTAGTGTTCAAATCTGTGTAGTGAGGATCTGTGTCCAGTGAATTTCATTGTCCTGGAAGAGTACCGAGAGGAGGTACTGGGTAGTGATGCCTTTTAACACTGCTAATATAAAGATACTCCATCACATTGTAAACCAGTGGTTCTCAAACATTTGCTGCGTGCCCCCTCCCAGCATATGTTCTACGCCCCCTCTCTCTCCCCAGAACTTGGGGTCCCATGGGACATAGGAGGGAAATGGTCTGAGAACTATTTGTAGTGGAGAGAGGGATACGCTAAAGGGAAGTGAGCTGAGCGGAGCAGACTCCAGCCAGAGCTGATGATGGGCATGGGAAGCCCCTGACTGCTCGGAGCTGCTGAGCCTGTGACCGGGCTCTTCACTGCGAGGCAATGAGACAAGGCCAGGAGGTCTGTGCTCCCCCTCTCCTGCAAGAACTGGCTGAGCACATCGGGGAGCCCCAGTCGCTTCCTTCCAGGTGGTCTGCTCCAGTAGTCCTTGGTCCCCTTCCTGTTTTGAGAAGTGCAGCTGTAGCCTGGGCCCAGTTGTCTGGGGAAGGTGCAGTGAAGATGCAGATGACGTTATGTATGCCGTCCCCTTTGGGAAAGGAACCTTTCCAGCACAGTCCGTTCCACCTCAGCAACTGAAGAGTTGTGAGATAATCTTGTAGAAGTTCATGATGGCATTTCCACCAACATGTTTCTATTTGCACTCACGTGAGCCAACAAATCCTTTGTGGTTTTTTTATTCCTTACGATTTAGTCACAACAACTGCAAATTAATACCCTCACTGTCCAGCGGGTCTTGCACAGCCTGCAGTTGCTCACCATGCCGTTTGCAGCTGCTGAAAAGACTCTCCCTGTATTTATCTCCTAGTTTGCCGTCTTCTACAAGGGTGAAGAGTGCTTGGGCAGTGGGAAGATCCTAAGGATGGGCCCATCGGTCTATACCATGCAACAGGGCAAAAAACGAGAGCAGAGTCCAAAGAAGGAAGAGGTTGACAAGATAGAGCCAGCAACATAACACATGGCTTTGTTTATTGAAGGACTTTGGAGAATTTGCTGCCTGAGAATAATAAAATTAATAAACATTTTTTTGTTGATCTGTATGTTCTAAAGGTCAGTTGGCCATCGAGTCCCAGCTCTTGACTGTTACTACTGAACAGGTTTAAAACTAAAGCCAGTTTGGTACAATTTTACTGGACTGGGTGGTGATATTTATGTTAATACATATCAAGGGATGTCTTACAGTTGTTCTGTAATAGTAGTTACGCGTACAAGAATTTTAATATAAAAATCATGTCCAGAATAATAAATCTATCTTTTATGCTTAAGTGAAAAACTTTTTTTTTCTGTCTTACTTGAAGATACCTGTCCCTAGGTAAAGTACATACGTTGTTTTACAGTAACTATGTTTGTGCTCTGAACTCTGGAAAAGGAATGAATGATATTTAAGTTCAACATTTTGAATGAACTCCAAGCAACAGATGTTTATTTTTCAATTTATATAGTTTTATAAGAAATGCTTTGGATTCTTAAGCTGTATTAAGTAGTGGTTTCAGATGTTTACATAATTCAGAATTACAAATCTAGGGGCTTAAAAACAGTCTTGACTGTTATTTTTTTTTCACACAACTGACTAATTTTTTGTTAGCTGCTGAGGACCGAGGCTGTTTGGCTTGTCTTCTGGAGAAGAAAGTGCATTGTTGTGCTTCAGAAAAATGCAAATTCATATGCATTTCCTTAATATGTAGCTAAGTTAATGTAGGCCTGATAATAATTGGATCTTGCCATGTGTTAAAATAGAGTGGTATTGGGAAGAGCTGAATACCCCTGTCCAAATTATCGACGTTTATAAGGATTGGGTGCATACTGAGGACACTTGATGTTATTTTTGTTGACACAAGTCAACAAAAATGAATTCCAGTCTTCCAACATGTAGGTAGTAGGTAACTGCCCCTAAAGTACAGCTGTCTGGGTTGGGTGTAGAATTTTGAGATGTGCATCCAATTTGGGTGGTAGGAAAGCTGTACCATGAATAGATCTTCTCAGGATATCTGAAGGCTTGGGTCACGTGTACATCCTTTTCTGTTGTCATAGCATCTTCTAAGGATTCCTTTTATTTCATCTGGTAAGAAAAGTAAAAGGTAGTCTCTTTTCTTCCAAGTGTGGAAGTGAAAAGGGGAGAAGGCACTCTTCAGTGTCTACGTGCTAGTCTGGCAAAGCTAAACAAAAAAAGTCCAGGGAGCCCTATGGAAAAAACCTAGACTGTAAAATCTTACATATTTATTTGACATTACAGTAGATCTGGGGGGGGGAAAGCCATCCTTTTCCATGGATGCCAAAATCAATTTGATTTAAAAGTCTGTCTTCAGAGTGTCTGTCATGCGCAGGTTAACTGTGAAGACTATCCATGCTTCATGTTGGCTGCTGATTTGTGTTAGGTTGGTTGTGTGATGGGTCCTGGGCATGACTGCTTTGTGGTTTTACTAATGTTTTCCTTACCTTTCCTGAAACTTTTGTCTTTGCAAAATGTGGAATTAATTACTAAGGGGAGTTAATGCTCCATATTGTCTTCATCTGAGCTTTCCAGTAAATGTCCCAATTAAAATCTTCACAAATGTTTTGTGTTGTACTAGTGTGGTTTTTATTATTACTTCATCTCACAACACTCTCAGGTGTGTTTGTTGTTTGATACTGTAGTGGTAGCGGTAGGCTCAACTGTGAGGACATGAAAAAGGATGTAGCAATTTCTGTCTTCAAAATTAACTTTCTTTTAAAATTCACAGAATTGCAGAGGTTGTCAAGGACCCCTGGAGATCATCTAGTTCAACTCTGCTGCTCAAAGTAGGGGCAGCTGGAGCAGATTGCTCAGGGCCGTGTTGTCAGGTTTTGAATATCTCCAAGGATGGAGACTCCACAACCTGCACTGATAAGACCCCTCTGAGCCTTCTCTTCTCAAGGCTGAACAGCCCCGGCTCTCTCAGCTTCTTGCATGACGGATGCTCCAATCCCCCCTCATCAGCTCTTTGGTATTGGTGTTGGGAAGTCATCAGCATTCCAGAGACCTCCTGGACTCCTTGTACCTTTCAGTGTTGTCCCTCCAGCAGGTATCAGAGTGACTTTAACTCCTCCATGAGGACCAGGGCCTGCAAATGTGAGGCTTCTTCCAGTTATCTGTCTTCCTTCTCACACTGTCCATCGCAGACACCTGCAGCAATGTCACCCCTCTGATCCTAACCTGCCTGCTCTCAGCTGGCTCATTGTCCACCCCCAGCTCCATGCTGTCCTGCTGCTCCCTCACATCCAGGATGACTTCCACACCTCACCTCCCCAGCCCATCCTTTTTGGAGATCCTGTACCTATCCATGGCAGCATTTTGGCTGTGTGAGCTGTCCCACCATGTCTTCATGATTCCAACACAATCCACCCATGCAACTGTGCACAGGCCTCTAACTCCTCTGGTATGTTTCTCGTGCTGCGCATGTAGCACATGGGTGCTTCAGAGGGGCAGCAAGAGAGGCCCCTCCTGCACGGTTTTCAAGGTCTCCTGCCCAGATCACCATGCTGCCTTAGCTTGCCAACCCAGTCCACCACTGGGTCTCCCCAGGCCATCCTGGATTGAAGTGCCTGATGAGCAGCAAACGTCCCTAGACACCAGGTCAGCAGCCAGATCTTCTGTCCCCTGTGGTGGGGAGTGTCCCACTGCTGTCCCTCATTCAGTACAGTGGCGGCTTTGGGCTCTCAAGGCTGCCGGATTTCAGGGAAGGTCTAATTAATATCTCCCTCATCACCTCTGCTGTGGCCCAGGCTGCTGGCCCCCTGCCATGGCCCCAGGTGAATCAGACCCTCCATTGGTGCCCACCTCCTGCGAGCAAGGAGCCCGCCTCTGCCGGGCCTGGGGGGCTGTGCCCTCCCTCAGGAGCTTGGTCTGAGTCAAGGCCACTGTTAACATGTTCTCATTCTTCAAAGGAATGCAAGTTACTGGTTTTTAAAGTCCTAAAGTTACTGAGTAGATACTGTTGTGGCTGCCGCCACCTGGAAATGAAAGGTGGTCTTTAGAGTTGGTAAATGACTGCAGAACCAGTGATGTCCCCAGCTGGTAATTCTGTTTAGCTTAAAGCTCTGATTGATACGAGCTGTTTCCAACCATTAACATTTCTCTTGTATAATGAGTCCTTACCTCCATCTAACTTTGATGTTTCTACCAGGCAGTTTTTCCTTTCCTATGTGCCTCCAAGGATTTGAATGCATACATTCTTTTGGCACTAAAACTCCAAAATGTATGTTGTATAGCCACTTGTGACGCCTGGACTTACTGAAGTGTCCACAAGGTAAGTTCTCAGAGCTGCCTAAAATTGTCTGCTTCTGGGCCTGGCCAAACCCCCTGCAGTCCTGTCAGCCTGGGGACACTGAGGTACCAAACACTGCTTGGAGCGCAGGTTGAAGGAACCAGGATCCACACAACTGGCTCCCATCCTCCTGGTTTTAAACTCGCTTGTAGACAGTCTTTTGAACCTGGTCTGAAAAAGTTTTCCAGGCAAAGAAACTACTTAATAAATTAGAACAGGCTTTTCAGATGCTTTCAGAACAACAAAAAAATCCCACAATAATTTTGATAAATTTGCTGGGATTTTTGCAATAAAATGTTCATCCTGCCTTATAGGCTTAGTAGTTACTTGTGTCTGGGCATGAGCATTACTTCAGCGATGGGTTGGGCTGCTGGGTGGTTTGAGCTTGGCTTTACTGCCCGGGCGAAGGGCTGGTTGCTGCCAGCGAGGTGAGAACGCGTCGACCCCAGGGGTGGCTCAGTCAGTCCAGGGAATGCATTTCCCGTTGGCCTGAATGCATTTCCTTAACCTTTGAAAAGGACTCTTTTCACCCTTCCTCAGCTTTTTTTTTTTTTTTTTTCTTTTTTCCCCTTTTTAGCTCTATCAGGCAAGCTTGCTTTTTATAAATCCCATCCTGAGGACAGATTCTCCCCGTGCAGTATCCCTGGGAAGGCTTTGCTGCTGGTATGATGCCAGGCGTATCCCAAGCCTAGGGGACTCAGGGTGCTCACTTGGCTAAGGCATGGTCTCTGCAGAAGTTGTAAGGGCTTTTAACATCGTTATGGTGAATTTAGGAGTTCTGGTAATGAGACTCTGGGTTTGCCGAGAGCCGCCGAGCTGGTGCCTCGTAGCAGGAAAGTTCAGGCAGTGCTGCTTGTAGCATGGCTGGCACGGGGTACAGTGAGTGTCCGCTGCAGCTCTGGTAGGACGGGGGCTTTTTAACAAACACTTCGCTTCCCTCTTTTTCTTTAAGCATCCTTAAAATTGGATACAGCAGCAATCCAGGATAGCTAATGCAGAAAATTCATAAGCTAACGTGCTGCTCTTCGGTGGAAACCTTTCTAGCAATGGTCTCAATTCATTTTTGAGGCTGAGGGACTTTGATTTTATCATCAGAGCTGAACCTCATGGTTCTACTGAAGAAACCCCCTCTAAGGAAGAGGTGAGTATGGACGGGTGTTTGGTTCGTAGAGGCTCACTGAGAAGGATGGAGGGTTCTTCTCGGCTTTGGTGCAGCTCAGCCTCTTGCCGTGATGCTGAGCAATGACCTTTGCCGTGATGAAACAATCGCTGCTCTTGCCCCCAGTGAGTCCCATGGTACTGCTGGGAGCTAGGAATTAGTGGGCATTTGTGAAATTCAAATTGCAAATAGCTTCTTGCACAGGATGCTTTGCAACAGGTTGCGCACGTCCAGCAACACGAAGCTTGCATGTTTAAAAAGGCATTTCCAAACAGCTGGTACTGTTTCAAGGGGGCGGCACTTCTCCTTTCACCCCATGTGTTTCTCATGGGTAAGGGTCTTGACGTCCTCGGGAGATCCTTGCTCCCCTTGTACGTAGGGTCCTTGGCAAGGGGAACATTATTCTGTCCTGCACAGGGACACAGCTTCCCAGGGCAGTCTGGCAGAGCAGCCGACAGAGGCACATTCCTACCGCTGGGTCCGGCTGCGAGACGCAGGATGAGCAGCGCCAGCAGTGCTTCTGACGGCGTTCGTGAAGAGGACGGTGGTTTCGGTAACACCAGTCCCACCCAGCCCCTGCAGCACTGTTGGATTGAGAGTGGTGCCCAAATCCCACACTCCAGCCTGCCCCAAGGCTGGCAGCCCACCCCAAAAGGGGGGTGAAAATGCAGAGGGGCACAGCCCTAATAGCTTGGGAACAGGGAGGTAACGGAGTGCGGTGAGAGCGGAGGTCGGCGCCGGGGGCCAGGCAGCCGTGCTCCCCGCAAGGGCCCATCACTGACACCATCTCCCACGCAGCCTTTGCCAAGGCGGGAATTTGGCCAACGTTTGGCTTGAACTGGGCAAGAGCAGTTTGGCAGGTGAATTTTCTTTTTTTCTTTACTGCAGAAGATGAGCATTGATGTGCTTTTTGAAATTCATTGGCTTTTAACTTTTTTCTCATATTTTTCCCATTTTGGGCGACAAACTGCAAGTAGGTGATTTCACTTTCAAGTTGTCATTAAGCTTTCAGGTCTTGAAATATTTGGTTTCAAAGACCCAAGTGAGTAACTGTTTAAAAAGAAAGACTTTTCCCTTCCAAAGTATAGAACATGGTAACAAGATTAGGTCATGTAACTGAAAAAATATGGCTGGGTGTCACCTAAAGGCTTGGGACTGAATTGAAACCTCTGTTGTACCCTGTGAATGTGTTTGAAATCTGTGTTACTGAGTGTATAATGGCTGAAAAATTGCACTCCGAGTGCAGTTTTATTCCCGAAGTGCTTGTGTAAAATCTGTCTTAATTGCTCTCCTGGTTTCTCGCCTTCCTGGCAGTGTTCCTGCAGAGCTGGAGGACAGAGTGTCCCCCGTGCAAGGAGAGCAGGGCTGTCCTCTGGTTTCACCTGGACGACTTTTCTGGGGAGGTGAGACATGGCACGGGCCTTGTGACGGGCTTCAGCCACACTGCAGCAGCTCGGGGTTGCTGGTCCGGCAGTAAGAGCATTGGCTCCTAGGGTTCGCCTGGCCCGTAGGACTGAAAGAAGCTTTTGTCCTCCCACTTCAACATTAAGTGTTCACGTGCTTTCTCTCTTCAGCTGCAAACCACGGGGAACAAAGCTGACATGCTGGGTTTATGAAGGGCTTATTTTTTTAACTTTTTAGGAAAAGCCAGTCTCTGTAGGAGCTGCCACCAGAGATGAGCCCTTCCATCTGCTGCTGGCTGGTCCTCAAGCTAACAAGCGTTTCTTTAGCTTCTCCAGAGGTCTGGTGAGCTGGAAGCCAGGAGGAAGCTTCTGAAGGCAAGAGGCTGCTCATGAGTAGGTGGCAAATGTGAAAAGCTGATGTGGAGTGGGGCTACGGTGAAAACGCTGTGTGGGGGCTAGGGAGGTTGGGTCTGTCAACTACAACCAAGGCCAGAAAAATCCCAAATCCAAACAGGCAAGCAAAAGAAAAAAATTTTTTTTCCATGCAAGAAACAGGGAGAAGAATGCATGAGGGAAAATGTGGGTGTTATCAGCATCGTGGTAGCATGCAGAGTTGATGGTGACAGTAGGTGAAGATGGTGTCCCACTGATGGGGAACGTACTTGCAACCACGTACAGTTTATGATTAGCGTTTAAAAATGCCTCCTCTGCATTTATATGTATTTACATGCTTTAATGAATTAAACACAATGAAATTATCCATCACAAATGCAATAATCCCCCCAACATGGCATGCTCGGATGATGCAGCGAAGTGGCATGCCATTTCCACCTTCAGCACCAGGAGGCACCAGGACATCACGTTCATCCCTCCCAACCCGACTCATCCTTGGGAGGTGGCGGTTATAGGAAGAGCAATTAACGCATCCATAATTGTGAATTTTTTCCCTTTTTTTTTCAGATTTTTTGCTGAGCCAATATATTGGAAGAATTGTCACTTGGTGGGTTTACTCCAGGCAGGGATACAGCCGCACTGTCACTTCAGCACACCGATGAGCCGGCTGAGAAGCAGCAGCTTTTTGGAGCCTAACTTCCATTGGGGCTGGGCAGCAATCACGGTACCAGTCAGGCCGGTGACAGCCCCAGCAGCAGGGCAAACTCCTGCTTTTTATTTAGAGTTCAGGTCCTGCCTGTCCTCCATCCCCTGCACCGTGCTGTGCAGGTCATTCCCTTTCACCGTCATTCTTAAACTTCATCTCTTCATCTCGCTCTTGAATGGCTGGAGGTAAAAAGGAGGGAGGGTGTGGTTTGTTTGTTTGTTTTGAGAACTAGCACCAGATTCTTACCCTTATTTGGTGTGTGAGGGGTCTGATGAACACTAACTTCTGGGTTTGGTTTGCTGCAGCTCTAGGATTTTTTTGTTTTCTAAAATGTCTTGCATTTTACCAAATGTATAGCATCAGCTAGAGAAACTTGAGACTGGAAAAAGTTAACGGACTCCTTATTCTATGCGATTTTACAGCATATAGAGTAATTTCTTCAAAAAAGAGCATCAAACTCACTCTGAAAGTTTTAAGGTCCTAGGAACAGTGACAAACACAGGGAGATTCCTCTTAATCAGACCCTGCCTGGAGAACCTGATGGGCTGAGTGCCAGGTCCTGGGCTTGGGTCACAACAACGCCATGCAACGCTATGGGCTTGGGGAAGAGTGGCTGGAAAGCTGCCCAGCAGAAAAGGACCTGGGGGTACTGGTTGACAGCTGGCTGAATACGAGCCAGCAGTGTGCCCAGGTGGCCAAGAAGGCCAATGGCATCCTGGCCTGTATCAGGAATAGTGTGACCAGTAGGAGCAGGGAAGTGATCGTGCCCCTGTACTCTGGAACACAAGTCATATGAGGAGCGGCTGAAGGAACTGGGGTTGTTCAGCCTGGAGAAGAGGAGGCTGAGGGGAGACCTTATTGCCCTCTACAACTGCCTGATAGGAGGGTGAAGGGAGGTGGATGTCGGTCCCTTCTCCCTGGTAATGGGCGATAGGATGAGGGGAAATGGCCTCAAGTTGCACCAGGGCAGGTTTAAGTTGGACATTAGGAAAAATTTCTTCATTGAAAGGGTTGTCAAGCATTGGAACGGGCTGCCCAGGGAAGTGGTCAAGTCCCCATCCCTGGAGGTATTTAAAAGATGGGTAGACGAGGTGCTTAGGGCCATGGTTTAGTGGTGGGATGACAGGGTTAGGTTAACAGCTGGGCTCAATGATCTTAAAGGTCTTTTCCAACCTAAATGATTCTATGATTCTAAATGAAATTTTCCCAGGGGCCTGCCCCTCTCTAGACTTTGGTAATTCATTGACACCATTCCCATTCAGTAGCACCATCTTTTGAGAATGCTCCCAGGAAAACACCAGTCTTGTAATTACAACACATCATTCCTGTGGGGAAAAGCTACTTCCATCAAGAATTTTCATCAAGAGAAAAGTGACCCGACTGCTCTGTCCTGGAATTCTCCAGTGGTGCTGTTGGAGG